TGAGTCCCTGTCACGGTGACTCACCTCTGCCATTGTAGTGTGACAACAGCCACGTCACCCACGAATGAGTGGACATGACTGTTCAACGGCGAAAGGACAGCATTGCCATTTTGTTAAAAACTCTCAGTGGCTTTACTATTGATCCTGGAAGGGCACAGCGTTTCATTCCACAAAATAGGATACGCAGAGGCTGGAAGTGGAGGGACTCAGTCCTCCTTGGATGGTCAGGCCTCCGCTGAGCTGCCACTTGCCTGGCACAAGGCCCAGGGTCCCACCATCAGCACTGCTGAAAGAGAAAGGATCGAAAAACTAAGACAGTCTAGAACACTCTTGGAGGAGAAGAGTACACTGTGCTGGAGGGAGGTGACATACTTTTGGGGACTGAGCTTCACATCCAAGAATGAGGGTCTGATGACAGCTGAGGGACCCTATGGATGGAGGTTGACACTCTGGTCATTCAACGAGCCACTGAGAGGTGACCGGTAGCGTGGCCTTCCAAGAAGCATCCCCAGGGCTTTTCTTTCTTAGGTGTGTCCCCTGAGCCCACTGGCAGCCACCTCTCTGGTCCCTCGGTCTCCAGTGTGATGTTGAGAGATAGCCCAGCTCCGGGGCTCCCTGGGGACTTCTCAACACTTAGGCTGCCCTGGGGACCGCACTTAAGCTCAGGAACCCAGTGGAGCCAAGGAACACGTTCAGTATCTGGCCCTGGGTGAAGGTGAGCCACGTCCTCTGCTGCTGGGCGACAGGAGTGACTCAGCCTAGCTGCTCCCTCCCACCCAGGGCAGAGGGGTGGACGGAAGTGGCCTTTCCTACACACCCGCTCCACGTGGGCCAATCCCGGCTTCCCGGTCAATGCTCACAGGACCCCAGGTGAAGGTGTTTTTCCTTTTCACCTGTGACGGCTCTGACGCTGAGATCGTTCACAGTCAGTGGTGGAACTGAGACCTACCCTCAGATCCGGGTGGATGCAAAGCAAGTCCTGTCTGTACTGGAAGAACAGGGCTCTAGGGATCACCGAAACCCCTCACTTTACTCATAAAGAAACAGAGGTCCAGAGACTTTCCCAGAATCACGGAGCGTTTGGACTTGGACCTGAGCTCCAAATCCCAGATCAGTGATCCATCTTATTTTTTTTTTCTCCTGCTGTGACCAAAAGAACTGACAAGAACAATTAGAGGAGGAAAAGTTGATTTGGGGGCTCATGTTTTCAGAGGTCGTAGTCCATAGATGGCTGACTCCACTCTTTGGGCTCTGGGTGAGGCAGAACATCATGGTGGAGGAGTATTGGAGGAAAGGCTCAGGACGGGACCCTCGGAAAACAGAGCACTGCTCAACACGGACAAAATACATACCCCAAGGCACAGCTCCAGGGACCCACCTCCTCCAGCCACACACCCCCTGCCTAGAGTCACCACCCAGTTAATCCCTATTAGGGGACTGATCCACTGATTAGGTCAAGGCTCTCATCCCCGCCATTTCACCCCTGAACCTCCTTGCATTGTCTCACACAGGAGCTCTGGGGGACACCTCACATCCAAACATAACCATCTCCAAAGTCAACGTTACTTTCTCTGCTTCTTACCCTCCAGAGAAGTCTGCAGCCTCTGCGGCTTACAGAAAAGGAGCCAAATAAGTTGACTATTTTAAAAAGTCAACCCTTTCCTCTGACAGTCTGCTTTGGCCTTCCCATCGCCGTCCCTGGGGGCTTCCATTAGACCACAACTAACTCCAGCTGCAGACCTGGTCACTTTCAAAGAAATTTTGTAAATCAGCAGCACTTCTGTTCCGACAGGGCCTGCCACCTCTCCAAAGCTGGTCAAATGGCCAATTTTCCACCATTGTCCTAGCATGAAAGGCCATAAAGAAGAATGGACAGCTCACAGGTCCCACTCCTTCCCTCCCTGAACTCATTTGGTTGTTGGAGATTCTCTCTCTCTCTCTCTCTCTCTCTCTCCATCTTCTCCCCTCTCATGTTTCAAGAATTTTTGATAAAGCTATCTCTTGTCAATTCTGGGTTGTAACCCAAGGGTTCTCAAGTTCAGCATGATTGACATATTGAAAGGGATCATTGTCGACCAGGGGTTGTCCTGTGCACTGTAGGGTGTTTAGCGCCATCTTTGGACTCTTCCCACTGGATGCCAGGAGCAGCCCCCACCCATGCACACACCCAGTTGGAGTAACCAAAAACGTCTTCAGACATGACATTTGTCCTCGGGGACCAAAATCGCCCTCGCTGAGAACCACCCAGCAGCCTGATCCCTATGTGGGTGTGGAGAAGGATTCGGAATCCCTCCAGGTGAATGATCACCAGCAGGAACAGCCCGTGCCTCTGGCAAGCCCGAGCTCACTCACCTGGGGCGCCTGCCACCTGTGAGACATTCTGGGGCGGGGCTGGAAAAATGTCTGGGGTGCCGATGGCAGCCGAGATGTGAGCTGCAGCAGGACACCCTGGCTCTGGTCCTGAAAGACGGATTGGAAGACCATGGGCACTTCCTGACCCTCAAAGGGCAGGGCCCTGGATGCTGGCGGTGGACTGCACTATGGAAAAGAGCCAGCAGGTGGAGCTCTTTTGAAGACGCTGCAGACAGATCAGCCAACTCAGGCTGGACTCTGAAGTCCATCTCTAGTCCTGGCCCCGTTCCCTCTAACAGGAGGGACCAGCTGAGTCTCTTGACCTGTTTCCACATCACTAAAATAACATTCTTAACAATCCCTCTCGGGCTGGGGCTGTGGCTCAGTGGTAGAGCACTCGCGGGGCATGCGTGAGGCCCTGGGTTCGATCCTCAGCACCACATAAAGTCAAATAAAAACATTGTGTCCATCTCTAACTGGGTGCATAGCATTTGTTGCGTTAGGTATTAAAAGTAATCAAGAGATGATTTAAAGTCTAGAGGAGAATGTGGGAAGGGTCTAGACAAATACTAAGCCATTTTATGTACAGGATTTGAGCATCCCGGGATTTCGGGGATCCTAGAGGGAATCCTCCATGGAGACTGAGGGATTGACTATCTGGGTGTCCCTTCTATCTCAGCTGCCTAAGGGGCAGCTTTATGAGGGTCTTGTTTGTGCTTGCTGATGTATCCCCAAGCCCAGGACAATGTCAGAAGATGCTCATTAAAGATGTGCAGAGGGGATGTCCACATATACACCCTTAGGGAAGCGGTTAGAAAATAGATCTCAACTGCCACAGACCTAATCAAGCCATTTGTACTTAATGGTTCCACTTCTGAGACTCTAAGCATCCCCTCCCCAAATAAGCCAATGAGAAGAAAAATCTTCACACTAACTAACATTTATCCTGAAATAGCACAAGCCACCTGAAAACCCACCCTGTAATCAGATATGGATGTAGTGAACACAGCCCTTGTGAATTGACATGGTGAAGTTCCAGGCAGCCATTACAATATTATTTATAGTAAGACAAGCTGACTTTTATAGCATACACAACAAACTATCATGCATAAGGAAAAACTGTGACTGTAACCCAATTACTGAGATTATAGGAGTGAGCACCCTTCCCCAACACACCTTCGGTGGGAATATGTACAATGTCCCTGGGGCACAATTTGGAATATTCTATTAAAATATAAGTGTTCATGTCACTTGACTAAGCAATTGCATTTCTGAGAGTTTATCATTGAGATGTATCAGATAAATACCCAGAAGTCTATGCATACAAAACTAGTTAAATAAATCACTGTATATCAACATAATAGAATATACTGCATTCATTAAAAATGAATATATTTGCATGAACTGACAGGGAAAATGCCCAGATATATTATTAAGTAAAAAAAAAGAAAGAAAAAGCCAAAAAAGCAGATTGCCAAAATATTTTTGTATAATAATAATGGTGTCACATATGGCAGCATAAGCATTTTAAAAATTAGGAGAGCTGGGTGCAGTGGCGCATGCCTGTAATCGCAGTGGCTTGGGAGGCTGAGGTAGGAGGATCGCGGGTTCAAAGCCAGCCTCAGCAAAAGCGAGGCGCTAAGCAACTCAGGGAGACCCGGATGTGGCTCAGTGGTAGAGTGCCCCTGAGTTCAATCCATGGTCCGCCCCCCCCCCCGCCAAAAAAAAAGAGAAAAAAAAATCACAGGAGATATACATCAAACTGTTAGCAATACTTTCGCTAAAGGATTAGCGAGATTTTCTCTGTGCTGTGAATTTTTGTAATGCTCAAGTTTTTTTTTTCCCCTTTGGTATGAGGGATTGAATCTAGGGGCCCTTTATCACTGAGCTATACCCCCAGCCCATTATTATTATTATTATTATTATTATTATTATTATTATTATTAGATAGGTTTCTTGATAAGTTGCTCTCACTGGCCTTGAACTTGTGATCCTCCTGCCTCAGCCTCCCGAGTTGCTGGGATTACAGGCCTGCACCACCACACCTGGCCTGCTTAGAATTGCTGAACGTAAATCAACAGAAAAAAAAATAAAAGTATAAAAAAAAAAACCCACCTGAGCCTGCAACAGAGGAGCTCCTGCCCAACAGCACAACAGGCACAAGGAGACCAAAAGCACAGGATCCCGGCGTCATTCACAGGGACAGATCGTTGCTGAGCGGTGGGATAACGGGCAGTGGTTGGAAGGCTCCTCGTGAGGGCCAACTTCTACCATGGCCGTGTGTATCAGTCTGGGTTCTCCAGAGAGACAGAACCAAGAGGAGGGAGGGAGAAAGAAAAGCAGGGAGAACACCCCCCCCCCAGGACCTTCTCCTTGCCTTCTCCATCCGGGCTCCCAGCCACACTGAGGCTGGTTCCTGCCACACAGTCCAGGGACGGACAGGCCAGGCTCCTCTGGAGAGCCCTCCTGGACTCATCCAGAAACTGCTTCACCAGCCCCTGAGGCATCCTCAATCCAGTCAAGTCGACACCCAAAGTGACCACCAAGCACCCACGGGCTGTGCGGGAGGGCCCCCTCCCACAGGCCCTCTGTGCTCAAGCAGGGTGATGCTGGGGGCATGTTCTGTTGATGTGGCCTTGTTTCCCCAGGATGGATGACATTCAGCTCTGCAAGGACATCATGGACCTCAAGCAGGAGCTGCAGAACTTGGTCGCCATCCCAGGTAACCACGCGCGGCCTCACTCCCTGCTAGCAGCTGCTTGGGGGCCCCCCGGGCGGCTCCATCTGCACCCCGAGGTCTGGGAGACGAGTTCATCTCTCCTCCAAGCCTTGGCTTCACTCTTGCAGTGAAGCACCCTGAACACGGGGTCCAAGTACAAGTTCAAGTCGGCCAGGCCTGGCCACGTTTGGACCCTGGGAAAGTCACCTCTCTGAGACTCAGTGTCTCTCTGAAAATAGAATATAACAACAGTAACAGTACCTGATTCACTAACTGTAAATGTCACCGTGACAAAGGTACGTTGCAGACCAAACGTTTAGCTTGATATGTGGCCCAAACCGTCCAATAAATATTAGCAATTACTATCATCATTATTCTGCTTGGGAACAAGTAGAAGATAGTGGTTATGGGATGGGGTTGTGGCTCAGGGGTAGAGCACTTGCCTAGCATGTGTGGGGCTCTCGGGATAAACCACTGAGCCCACTGTCCTAATTGAAAGGGGCCAACTCCATGGTGTGTGAATTATATCCCAATAAAAATCACCAAAACCAGTTAAGCATTAAAATTAAACCATAAATAAATGGGAAAAAAAATACTATAGTCCAGTCACCACTAGAAATTCTGATTCATTTGGTCAGGTGCGGGACCTGGTAATTTTGAAAAGCTTTCTAGTCAGGCAAGGGGGCACATGCCAGTAATCCTGGTGGCTGGGGAGGCTGAGGCAGGAGGGTCACAAGTTTCTAAGCCAGCCTGAGTAACCTCGTGAGACCCCATCTTGAAATAAAATGAAAAGGGCTGGGGATGTGGCTCAGTGGCGGAGCACCCCTGGGTTCAACCCCAAGGACTAGGGGGTAGTGGGGTTACCTTCCACATGATCGTGATGACCAGCCAGGGGTGACAGCCACTCTTCTAGCTCTTCCAGGTGGAATTTGGTGGAAAGGTGCAGAGACCCATCTGGGGTTATGTGAACACAAAGCCCTCAGTCACTACGAGGACGAGGACGTCTCCTGGAGCCCTCACACGCTGAATTTATTTTGTGTGGTTCCCAGAACAAATCCCCACTACTCTGGTGACTTACAACAACCAGAGGTGAATTTTCTTAGACTTCTGGAGGCCAGAAGTCTGATATCCAGGTGCCGACAGGCCGCGCTCTCTCCAGAGGCTTTAGAGGAGAGTCTCCGTCTCTTCCACCATCTGATGGTCCCTCTCAGTCCTTGGCTCACAGCTGCATCATCCCAGCCTGCCTCTGATGTCTGCTCTTCCCGAGGACACTGGTCACTAGACGACAGAGAGTCCACTCTAATGAGTATAACTTAATTTTAGCTTCACTAATCCCATCTGCCAAGTGATTTTCAAATTACTTTGGAAATAGGCTATTTCTGCATAGGGTGGATATGAATATTTGACAGGACCTATTTCCCATTAGAGTAGACATGAACTTATCCATGGGGGTGGGGGCATATACTACTAACTCCAGCCTCACAAGGGCCTGAAACCCGGAAGCCAGTGGAATGTTCTTGGCCACCAACTCCCATTTTGGGTACAAAATTCAATTTTGGGTACAAATCCTGTTTTCCCCCTGTAGCACCCGAGCCAGGCAAGGCCCCTCCACCTCCCTTTCCTGACCTCCCTATGTAACCACCCGACTCTCGGGGCTTCTGGGTTCCAATTTCCACCTCCTTGGAGATGCATTTGGGTGACCGTGTCCTCCCAGGGCCCATTGTTAGCTCAGCAGGACACATGGGATCCCACCAAGGCCAAGGAGGCATGAGTGTGTGACCATGGAGTCCACCAAGGCTACCGGGGGCTGTGGTGGCCTCCAGAGCGGGCATGGATATGGCACTTTTTGGTTGACAGTGACTGGGGCAGCTGGTGACCAGGGCCAGATGGAGGGCAAGGAGAACAAGATACTTCAAAGGAGCTCCCCAAACTCAGCAGGCATGATAAATATTTTAAATGCATGCCAAGGAAAATTCATGATGAGCCAAATATCAAAAGTGTAGACAGGATTGGTGGTGACATCCCACGGGCAGAGGCCAGGGAGCCTGCAGCCCGGGACCTGGATGCCATAGGCCCACTGGAAAATGCATCCTGCTGGAGTGACACGCCACCCATGTCCCCGCTGAGAACACAACTCAAACCAGGTCCAGGGCTCAAGAGCCACAGAGCCCCGGGCCCTACCCCAGCCCCACTGATTTCCCCTGCAAACTGCTTCTTCCTGTGACTTCTGTGCAGAAATCTGGAGCCTCCTCCTCTCCTGCTTTCCCAGGCCTCCTCCCCCGACCCCCTTCCCCTCCATCCTCCTTGCTGGGTGTCTTTCTCTGATTCCCTGGGCCATTGACAGGTTGCTAGATGGATGTAGCTGCATTTAGGAGAAGAAAAATGAATGTTCCTAGCAACACAGTGACCATAAAGTATTCAGTGGAGAGTAAACAGCCAATAAAATCATGCTTTTTTTGAGCCAAGGTCAGAAAATAATTTGCCAGTGTGTTGATAGTCGAGGAAGTCTGATTGGACAACAGCCCAGGTCCAAAGTCTCACACCACCTCCGCTGCCACCCCTGCGTCCTGAGAGCGGGGCATGCTGAGGTGTGGCAGTGGACGTGAAAATAGTGTCACCTTCACAGGGTTGTTGGAAGTGGTTCTCAGCTGGGGGGAGGGTTTGCTCCCCAATGGATGTTTGACAAGGTCTGGAGACATTTTTAGATGCTATGACTTCTGGGAGAGGGAAGCCACTGGCCCTGGCTTAGAGGTAGCAGGGAGGACGTTGTGGTGCTGAGAAGTGATTTGGGGAATCAGACTCACAAGCCCCACCTTGGTCAGAGCAATGCCCTGGTCATCAGGAACTGGGGACTGCTCAAAATTCCACTGCGCTTCTTCATGAGCTGGTGGCCTTTTGGTTAATGAGACAAACCAACCATTCAGACGTATGGATCTGTGGGTTCCAGATCCATGGATTCAACCAACCATAGATTTTTAAAACTGCAGGGGGCGGGGGCGGGGGGAAACATTGTCTCTGTACTGAACATTATACAGACCTTCTTTCTTGGTGTTATTTCCTAAACAATAGTGTAACAAAACTATTTCCATAGCACTGACATTGGATCAGGCATCATAAGTGACCTAGAGATGGCTTAAAGTCTACGGGAGGGTGTGCAGAGGGTGCCATTGCATACAAAGGACCTGTGCATCCTTGGGTTTTGGTATCTGCAGGGGGGTAACTGATACCAACCCTGCATAGATTCCAAAGGATGACTCTATTCTCACCTCCAGTTCTGCTTCCAGATCTGAAGGCCATCAGTGCCCCTAAGTGGGCAGATGGACAAGCTGCCTGCATTTTTTTTTTTTTCATTCTGAACGGATTTGAGCAGAAAGAGCTGGAAGTGGGTTTAGGATTTTTGCCTCTGAGCTTCCTTCTGTTTTGACCTTCAGCCCGTCTTTCCTTGTCCTCCTGGCCCTGGGTCTTTGGGACAGGCTAATGTTATCAGCATGGACAATCTTTTTTTTTTCCCCTGAGAAACTGGTTCACCCACACCACACAGCAGGTCCCTCCTGAACAGCCCCCCACCCAAACCCCGGCCAGCGCTTTGTCCCCCTCTGTCTTCTGCAGATCCCCCTTGCAGGGTCACCACCATGTTCTGAGTGCTCTCCAAGTCACACACTGATATCTGCTGCCTTTTTGAGCCTGATTCTGTGTGTATTTTACAGATGAGGAAACCGAGACTTGAAGAGGCCACGTTGCTTCTTCAGGTTCACACAGCGAGTGAACTGGCAGAGCCAGGACCCTGACCCAGCCCCTCGGACTCAAGTGCTTCGAGGGGTTGTCCTCAGCTGTTTCTTTACTGATGCTTTGTTCTTCCCAGAAGAAGAAAAAACCAAGCTGCAGAAGCAGAGAGAGGATGAGCTAATCCAGAAGATCCATAGACTCGTGCAGAAGAGAGACTTCCTCGTGGACGACGCGGAGGTGGAGCGGCTAAGGTGAGTGGGGACACGTCCTCAAGCCTGCGGCCACCAGACCCCAGCCTCGTCCTTCCCCTCAAAACCCACGCTCTGCTCCCGAGAGGCCCTGCCTTGCCCAACACCCACACGGCCTCCACCAGGCTCCCCAGTCACTGACCCCAAATGAATCCCAGGCTTCGGGCCTGAGGACCCGCTTCCCACTGAATAGAACTCCAAGCCAGCCCCCCAAAGTCTTGCAAAGTCCTGTGTGTCTTAGGTGAACGTCATTTCGGGAGGTGCCCTGGGGCGGGGAGATGACATCACATAACAAATGACAGAGCTCCCTACATAGTTTCCCAACTCATCAAGGCAACTTCTAGAAACTTCTCCTGTCAGTATCCACAGAAACTCTGCCCCTATATTGCCTTGTTTCCGTCCCTTCTCCTCAGTGGCTCCAAGGCCCTTTTATACCCATTCCTACTGGCCAGTTTGACCCGGATGACCACAGGCCCAGGGGTCTGGAAGGTTCCTGAGGAGTCTGGGCATAGAAAACGCTGAGAATGTTGATTCTTAAAAATTTTTTGTCTCCAAACAAAGCCTTTGGAGTCTCTCTCTTTGAGGAGGGCAACTCTTTATTCTGTGTCCCCTGAGGTCTCTCTATAAGGCCCCTAGGATAGGCCTTGCCTTGCTCAGCTGGGCTGGGACCATCAACTTTATTCCTGGTGACCTTGATGAGCTGAGGTGACTTTCTCTAAGACCTGCCACACACCTGTGGGAGCACAGGTGACAGGGGTGGCTTGAAGGTACAGGGTCAGGAGAGATGTTGCCCAGCTCACTGAACCCCCAGCCGGGTAGCTGGGTCCGGTCGTGTCCATCTCTGCTCTGGGCTCTCACCCCTAGCTCTGCATCTGTATTCACCCACTGTCCACACGTCTCTGGTTCAGAGCAGTTCAACGCGCCACACACAGAGCACACAACACGTGGGTACCGTCCACAAAGCCCTACCCCCGGCCCCACGCGTTTAGCACCTCACGCCCCCTTCCCTTGGCGCCTAGATGTTTCCTCGCTCACTCTGTTCTCTCTTTTGCACATCTGCCTTCCCAGGGAGCAAGAAGAAGACAAGGAAATGGCCGATTTCCTGAGAATCAAGTTAAAACCTCTAGACAAAGTAGCCAAATCTCCAGCCAGTGAGTGCATTCACCATTCCTCCTCTTCCCCCACCAGAGAGAGGGAAGGATATTTCAGAGAGATCTGGGACCAGAGGGCACAGCAAAAAAGCTTTCTTGCAATCCAATTCCCCAGGCCCACATTCTACCCCAGCAGTGGTCCTTCCCTGGTCACATGGTTTGGTGAGGCCCCGGGAACTCTGGCCCCTGTCAGGGCTGGGATCTCCGGAGGGCCAGAAGCACTTCTCAGAATACGAGCCTTAACGAAAGACCTAGAGCAAAAGGGTTTTTGTGAAATAAGTCTGGGAAATGCCGCAAGGTGGACCCTCAATTTGGGGGAACCAGTGTCCACCAGGAAATTAAAGTGATGCTGGCTCCTCCTGTCGAGGAGCTGTCTTCTCTTTCTTTGTTGGCTCTGTGTTTCTCAGAGGCGTCCCACTGCTGAATTCAAGGGCCTCCTTCAGTATAAGAAACGATGCTCAGCTCGATCTGGTCTAAGCAAAAAAGAGGACTTGTTGGAGGAAGAGTGACAAGAAACAGGGTGTCAGAGAGAGGACACTGTCAGCATCCCCCCACTCTCCTTCCATTTCTCATCTCTGCCCTTCTTGGCATGCTAACTTCATGTCCCCCTAGTACACACCCCTTCTCCATGGGTCAGAATCCCAGAACCATGGGTTGGCAGCTCCGAGGCGATGCCAGGTCTGTTCTCCTGGTATTTTAATACACAAATCTCAGGGGAAGACTCTGGTCTCCCTTAGATTCGGTTCCCATCTCTGAGACCCATGACTGTTATGGAGAGGTTGGGGTACCCTGATTGGCCAGGTCTGTGTCACGTGCCCTCCCCCTCCAGCAGCCACAGAGACAGGAGCTGTTACCAGGGTCAGGGCTGGAATCATGTTGGGAATACAAAAACCAAAAGCTGCACCATGTTTACAGACACAAACCCAGTTTACTTTGCCATCTGTTACCTCCTGGGAGAACATCTGTTACCTCCTGGCTGTGGTGGCTCACACCTATAATCTCAGCTACTTGGGAAGCTGAGGCAGGAGGATCACAAGTTGGAGGCCAGCCTGGGTGACTTAGCAAGACCCCGTCTCAAAAAAATAAAAATGAAAAGAGCTCAGTGGGTTCAATTCCAAGCACCATAAGAAAAAAAGGTAGAGGAAGGGAGGGAATCTGTCTTCTCTTCTATTGATTCCTAAGACCACAAGGTACGTGATCCCTGCCTGAAGCCAGCATCCTCGAGGGACGGACTCTTCTAAAAAAGGCAAAATAGAAAAACTCCACTCAACAATATGGAGAAGGAGCAAGAAAACCTTCCTTCTGTGTGAGGTTAGGGATAGAACAAAGAAATGGTCTCAGTAAGAAATCAAAATACCCAGCCCACACCATAAGCAAGGGGTGAAGTGTGGGCCCACAATACTCATCTGGTGCTGAAATCCCAGATTGAAAAATAAAAGCGAATTGAAAACCAGTGAAATCTCTGGGGCCCTAGCAAGAGCAAATGCAGAACTGATCAGTGAGTCTTCTGCATCCCCTGACACACAGCACTACCCTGGAGAAAAACGACTCCCACCAAGAGGAGCTCTCAGTAAATATCAAAACCCAACATGAATTGTACCACCGTGAAGCTGGGTGTGGTGGTGCACGCCTGTAATCCCAGGGGTTTGGGAGGCTGAGGCTGGAGGATCACAAGTTCAAAGTCAGCCTCAGCAATTTAGTGAGGCCCTATGTAACTTAGAAAGACCTGATCTCAAAATGAAAAAATAAAGAAAGGTGAGATATGAGTCAATGGCTAACTGCTCTGGGGTCAATCTCCAGAACAAAACACACACACACACACACACACACACACACAAATACACACACAAAATAAAATAAAATAAAACTCTACCACTGTGAGGAAAATCAGTGGATGCAACAAAGAGAATGCTCTCCCAAGAACCAGATGTAACAACTATTTTAAAGAGACAATACATACATTTAAATGATTAGAGATAAGGAATGAAACCAAAGCTAAAAAGCAGGATGCTATGAAAAAAGAATTGATCGATTTTCAAAAAATTACCCTTTAAAAAAAATTGTCAAAATAAAAACTCAATGGATTAAATATAGAGACACAGTTGAAGGTACAGCTCATAAACTGGAAAGCAGACCTGAGGAAATTACCCAGCATAAACAGAAAAAGTTGTAAAATATGAGAGGCCATGAATCAGAGAGGATAGAATGAGAAGGTCCGATTCTATCTAGTAGGCAATCCAGAAGGAGAGGAAGCAGCCAACGTGGGGGTGGGTATCTGAAAATATAGGATCATTTTCCAGATTTGAAAGATGTGACCCCTCAGATTGAATGCCAGGTCATGGGTGAGGCTTGGCATTTACAATGGTGGCTAGGAGAGGGCTGTGGTTGGAAGCTGAGAGCTGGAAGCCAGTGGGCCCAGAGGGAAGTGGGACCAGACACTGGCCCATATATAATGCACAGCAGCTCTCCATATCACCTGAGCAAGGCCTGGCCTGGGCTTGGGGTGGGCTGGGGCTGCCGGTGCTCAGGGCTCTCCTTGCCTCACCTCTCACTCTCTCCCTCTGTGCTTCTACTTTGTTGCAGGCTCCCGGGCAGAGAAGAAAGCAGAGCCCCCACCTAGCAAGCCCACGGTGGCCAAGACTGGGCTGGCACTCATCAAGGATTGCTGCGGGGCCACCCAGTGCAACATCATGTAGCCCGCACACAGGGTGCCCCAGGGCCACGGGGACCCCCCTCCCACCCTCTTGTCGTCATAGCCCCCATTTCACCGGGGCCTAAGAGCTCTCCAAGGCTTCCGGAAGGGGTTGAAGGCAAACCTGTGACTGCCGCCAGGGGCCATGGGCGCGGCAGGCGGGCTGGCCGCCCTGTACAGAGTGTAGCAATAGGGAGTCCCTCACCGTCGCATGGCCCTCCCCAGAGCATGCCGAACCCAGGAGTCTGCCTCACCAATTATCCAACCACCAGGAAGGTCCTCCCTCAGAAAAGTTTATCTCCACTTCTATTTAGCTGTATCTAACCCACTGTGCAAATCATCTGGGAGAGGGGCATCGGTCCCCAGGTGTGTATAGTTGTGACTTCTCAACAATCTAGCACCGTATTGGACACCTCCCCTTCCACCCTCCTAGCTCTGCTGTCAGGCCTGCCCCAAATAGGCACAGGTCCCATCCCCCGTCTGTCCTCTCCCAGGGACCGTGCCCCCCACTGGAGGGCCCTACACGTAGCCCATGCATCTCTCAGGCACCATCAGTGTCACGTTCTTGGAGGCCGATGGCCTGTCTGTTAAAGACTTGAGCTTGTGTGCCACGCTGTGGTCACATCTCCTGCTTCCTCCCATCCTGTGTCCGGGCCCAGTTCACATCAGGAGGGTGTCCACCGTGCTCTTGGCTCTTCTTTTACTTGCCATGTGTGGCCCAGGGGCATGGAGCTGAGTGGGGACAGGTCTGGGCAGCAGCTGATCCAGTGCTTGGAAGAAAGAGGGGAATCCAAGGCCAAGACCAGGACAGACGGAAGGGGACCCAGAACAGACGTTGACCCAGACGCTCGTTACCCACCGGGGGGGCCACTGCAGGAGTGCCAGTGGGATGTCACCACACCAGCCCAACACCCAGACCTCCATCAAGAACGCTGACAGGCGGGAGAGACAGCGTGACCCAGCCGTGTCCCATCCTCTGGTGGCGTATTTGAACCAGCCTAACAATTCCACCTGTCCAACTTGATGTACATTTGCTATAGCCAGCCAGGCACAGCCCGTGTGACCTCTCTGTCCGTGTATGTGTGTCGTGACCGGCCTTAGTAGTTAGTGTAACTCAAGGTTCGCTGATGTTCCGTCATCCATCAGAGAAAATAAAATGGAAACCACGTACACCGCTTTTTAAATGCTTTAATTTTTTCCCCTTGATTATGGAAGTGATTGATGTACATAGTAAATCATTTTAAAAGTACAGAAAATATAAAGACTTCTTTTGTTTGTTTGTTTGTTTGTTTTAAGCATCCATGATCCCTCCATGGAGACATCTAGTATTTTGGCATGTTTCCTTGTCTTTTTTATATATTTCTTTTTTTCTCATGCTCGGCACTGTATTCTACCATTTTAGAACCAGTGTTTTTGCCACAGGTCATTATGTGGCGACGGATCCCCCGCTTCATTAAAAGCTCTTTGTAAACATTAAATGCTCTTCATACATATTTATACTGGCCGCTTAGTAATCCATCTCGTGGATATACCGTCATTTATCTCACCATTTCCTCACCCTTGGGCATTTAGACTGTTTCCAGCTTTTTCAATGTTGTAAAATGATGTAACGATAAATATCCTGAGGAGACAAATCGTCTGAATTTGGGGTTTTTCCTTAAGGGGACACTTAGAAGTAACATTCTTGGACCATGAATGGGTACCATTTTCAAAGTATTTGGGACTCACAATAAATCTGCGGGTTTCTAGTCACAGCAGCATTGGAGTTGACCTCCAGTCTTTGGTTTGATGGACCCTCCTGCAGGCCTCCCACCTTGGGCCTCCCAATCTGTCTCAGATGTGTTTCTACCTCAGTCCAGGCTTTGCTCACACACTTCTTCCTGACATTCTGATGCTGAAGAGGCTCCAACCAATGTCACCAGAATCAGAGGACGCCATGTCCTTCTTTGGTGCCCTATACTAAGCATGGAGATAGAACGTATGAGTATTCTCCAGCTGCTGTAACAAAATTACCTCTAACTGGGTGGCTTATACGATAAACTCATCCTCTCCCATTTCTGGAGGCCAGAAGTCTGTAACTGAGGTGTCTGCCGTGTTCCCTCCCAAGGCTGTGGGGAAGAGTCCTTCCTTCCTTTCTCCGGCTCCCTAGAGCTCCTGGCAATCCTTGGCTTTCCTTGGCTACTTTGCTCCAATCTCTACCTCTGTCTTCACATGGCTTCCTCTACTGGATGGCTCTCTCTGTGGGTCCTCTCCTGGTCTTATGAGCACACATTCATCATATTTAGGACCTGTTCTGATGCAGTATGACCTTTCCTTGATCCTCACTTACTTCTGTTAACCCTTATTTCCAAGTAAGTTCACATTCTAAAGATCCTGGGGAGACAGGAATATGGTGGAGTGGTGTGGGGGATACTATTAAACCACAGTAGATCCTTCCCACTCTAACCCCCAATGAAAATTCAGGGTGCAGCCAGGCACAGTGACGCATGCCTGTAATCCCAGTGGCTCAGGAGGCTGAGGCAGGAGGATTACAAGTTTGAAGCCAGCCTCAGCAAATTAGCAAGGCTCTAAGCAACTCAGCGAGACCCTATCTTAAATTTTTTAAAAAGTGGGAGGATGAGGATGTTGGTCAGGGTTTAAACAACCCTAAGTTCAATCCTAGTACCCCCTAAAAAATTAATTAGGCTACAAAGGGTTCGTTCCTCTCCCCTGTGGAAAATGTGGGCCAGGGAGACCTTAGGCCACTCACAGGGCAGTCACTCACTGATGGAGAGACCCAGGGGGATTGAACTCTCATAAAAATCCTGCCTCTCGAGCTTCCACTAAGCCCTGGGTAGACTGACCTCATTTTCCTGCTTTTCCACTGATTTAAAACAAAGAAACATTTATTTAGATCTTCACAGAAGAGCAGGATAAAGTAATAGTTTATGATGCTCCCGGGTCACCAGGGCTGCCTGAGAAGCTGGGAATCCTTCAGCTGGGGTTCCCTCCCCTTCAGACGTGCTCCCGTGGGGAGCCATGGGGAAGGATGCTGATATTTATTGCAGTTTATCGCTGTGCAGCTCGTTTGTCTCACGCCGGCCTGATGCGGTGGCTCCTAATATTATTTCCACTGTATGGATTAGGACGTGGCAGTAAATCCAAGGCCCAGGGAACGTGGCAGTTAGTGGTCGAGACATCTATCACCCATGCCTCTCTTTCCTGGGGCCCTGACAGGTTTCTCTCTCCTTACTAGTGTTTAAACAAACCTCTCACTTAAAAAACAAAAACAAAAACACCCTTCATTCCATTTTCCTTCACAGTCCTCTTAGAGTTGACCACAGCTTTGCGATCTGCACCTCCCCAATGCCCAGAGCCCTCCAGGATCTATGTTAACCTGGATTTTGTCCCTCTCCTGCACCGGACCCCTCGTGCCAGGAAGCAGCCATTTGTTTAGGTGCAGCTGGTGCACATTGGCCCTTGCACCATGGGGGCTCTCTGTGGCGGGTGACCCAGACAGGTGCTTGACTTGACCCCCGGGGGCTCCACTCTCTAGGTGTGCTTCCTCCTGCTCAAGAAGATCCCTCTCCAGACCCCTTTAAGGCTTCCTTGTCCTCAAAGCCTGACCCTTGGCCTCCTGCTCTCTCCTCTCCCGGGATCTCCTGCACACCTTGGAGAGCCATCAATATGCGGATGCACCCAGGACAGTTTCTGCAGCCTAAACCTCTCTCTGAAGCTCAGATGCATTTCTCTGACTGCTTCTGGAGGCTCTCCACTTGAATCTAGAACAGGCACCTGCAATGTAACCTGTCTTAACTCAAGGACCAGCAACAGGGGCCAAATCCCACCTGCCTTCTGCGTTTGTAAATAAAGGTTCATTGGAAAAGTCACGCGCATTCTCTTACCTATTGTCTGTGGCGTATTTGGCGCTAGGACAGCAGAGTGGATTCTAGAATATTTCCTCTCTGGAGCTTGAAGATGAAGTTAGTCAACTCCTCTCCTAAACTGCCCTCAGCTGCCACGTTTTATTTATTTTTTTCCATTTCAGGAAAGGGCACCACCCAGCCCCAAGGTTGTCCTAAGACAAGTCCTTGGCCCTTCTGTTCCACGTGGTGCCTCTTCAATTTGCAGGTCTGAAGTGCCCACCTCCTACGTTTCCCTAGGACCTGGCTGCTCTGGGGTGGCCACTCTCAGCTTTTCTCGGTCAGCGGCAGCAGCAGTGTCCTGAGTGGCCCCCAGCGCTGGTCTCCCGGGTTCATGCTCTCTGCAGCTGCCCGGGATTCTCTGAATGATGCCAACCTCTGGTCCCTCCTCCAAGTCATTCTCACAGCCTCTTTCGTGTGGTTAAAAGTCCCCTCCGGTCTGCTCTTCCACACGTCAGTCTCCTCTGTCCCCCTCCCCTCCACCCCTCTTGATGCTGGGACACCCACTCTCTTCTGGGTTCTCTGGCTCTTCCTGCCATGCTCCCGAGGGCACCTCTCCCAGATTTCCCCACATCGTTCTCGCGGCCGAGAACTACTCAGCTTCCCACCGGCCCTTCTTTCCACGGGGCTCGCCCTGAACCACCCACGTGCTGCCCTCGGGAGCCAGATGATCCTTCTGAACGGTTCGTGTGACAGGTGTGTTGCTTCTCCGTTTGAAGCCATCCGCTGTTTCCCACGGGGCCAGCGGCCAGGTTGGGGGCCCAGGGCCTGGCGTCAGCCCCAGGCGCCCGTCTGCCTCTCCCACCGCCCTTGGCTCGGGCCAGCACTCAAGGGGACAAACAAACTGAGCAGGAGCAGCCGGGGAAGAAGGAAATTCACGCAGAGTGAAGTGTCCGAGGGGGCGTGTCCTTGAGGCCACCATCACCCAGGAGCCAGGTGACCTCAGGACTGTGCTGTGATTGGTGTGGAAGCCACAGGAACCTCAGCTCCATGGTGGTGGCTGGACGGCCCTGAGCCCTGAGCTGTGGGGACATGGCTGGCCATCTGCAGCTTGAGAAGCCGCAGTGTCACCTTCCATAAGGAGGCTGCCGGCCAGGACTTGGAGGCCTGCCACCAACAGGGTCACAGGACGGGCATCATGGGAAGGCAGAGCACTCAGGACAGCTGCCTTGAGGAGCGAGGCTCAGGTCACCTTCCCTTTCTTGAGCGGCTAAGTCCCTGGTTAACGCAGGGGTGGCAGGCGCTGGGGCGCGTGGAGACTCTGGCCTAGGCACTACCTGCCTTCCAGTGAGGGACATGGAGGTCACAGGGTGTCAAATCTGAACCACTGCAGCCCTGAGCAGCAGCAGTGGCAATAGGGACCGCCATCTAGAAAGGGACCGAGGGCTTCAGCTGGAGCTGGACGGCTCAGGCCGACAGCCCAACGCCGTCCTCTGGGTGTGGACGCGCCATCGACTCCCCTCCCGGAGGCCTCAGTGTCCAGGCCTGTAAGACAGAGAACCAGAGGGGCCTCGGAGAGAGGGCGCAGGAGAGTCACTCCTGGTCAAGTCAGAAACAGGAGACGCGAGATGGGCAGGGGCCGGGCCTCGCTGTGCTTCCTGGAGGGCCTGGGGCTGGGTGGGAAAAGGTGAGGCGCACGGCTGTCCCCACGGGGCAGACGCTCAGGGACCGGGTGAACCCCAAATCCAGCTGAGGCCCCAGTCCCCGAGCTTCCCCAAGATTTCTACTTTTTCTGGTCCCACTGTCACATGTGACTCTCGACACCTGCCCCGTGAGACTCCCACATCCCTCACTGTTCTGTCCCCACATGTCCCTTCCTCTACTCTTGCAAAGCCTGACATGGTGCTTAGGCCCCTCTGCTCCGTGCACCCCAGAAACCAAGCTGCACCATGCCCACAACGAGGCCACTCTCCCAGGATGTCTGTGAGGGTGGCGAGGACTTCCAGCATGGCCACCCACCCAGGTGACGAGGAACCCATTTCCTGTCTGCACCGCTCTGCCACCCCAGACCCTCCCTGTCTCACCCACTTCACTGTAAATTTCCTCTGTTTTGTTGGGAACTCCAGCACCCTCCAGACCTCCACCCCAGCACCCCTCCAGACCTCCACCCCAGCCTCCACACAGGGTGGGGAGAGGCCCCAGCTCTTCTGCTGCCAGCTCCAGGGCTCGCAGGCTCTGCAGGGAAGACGACGGGGCTCATCCCCCTTCCTCCTCTGGGGAATGAGACCCTGCAGGATTGGGACGTGGGAAGGGGAAGCTGGGGGCTGTGAGGAGGCAGGAAGGCCACCAGGGCCTCCATGGAGGCAGGGCTGCCCACCTGAGCCTCAGCATGGGGGCGGTGGGATCCCTTCTGGACCTTCATGCAGAGAACTG